TGAGCATAACAAATAAAGAAGTGTAATGTAAACATTTACATTATTATTATGATTATTTAATATATAAAGACTATATATTATTGAATTATAATAATAATAATAATAATAATAATAATAATAATACATGGGACTTTTATAGCGCTTTTCATGAAACTCAAAGACGCTTTGACAGAGAATTAAGAAAAGACAACAAAAAAAAAAAGAGATAAACAAAACAGAAAATAGGGGGGAGTGTGGTGGTCAGTGGTTGAATGCAGTGTTGAACAGATGGGTTTTGAGTGATGTTTTGAATGCTGTGAGGGAGGAAGAATCTCTGATGGATTGGGGTAGTGAGTTCCAGAGGGTGGGTGCAGCAACGGAGAAGGCTCTGTCCATGTTTCCTTCATAGTGTGTAGATGGTAAAGGAAGTATTAATCTTTTAACTGCAATGTTTCTGTAAGGCTTTTCTGCAGCTAAGGATCACTGAGATGTGTGAAAGCTGCAGGTCGAACGAGATCTTGGTTCGGACTTCTAGGGACTCTATTTCAATATGTACTCAGGATATATTGCAATTACAGAGGACTTAAAGTCTTCATGCTCTGCTGCCTCGGCGTAACAATGCTGCTCTCCTGGCAGAAGGAAGCCTCAAAGAGCTGCGAGAGATTGGTCTCCTTTATTGTCCAATGGTTGACAATATTTGGCAGCACAAAGACAAGAGCTCCCTGGGTAAAATAAGACTCCTGTGTGCCTTGGAAGAGGCAGAGAGGCGGGGTAACCGGAGCCGACAAACAGCCTAACGTGGAACGTGAAACGTGGAGCGTTCTCATCGACTTTGCTCCCACAGCAGACACACAATATGAGCCTCTATGTGGCCTCGGGGTAGAATAGAGACGCAGATTACGGCGCTGAGAGGCTGCAGAATAGGAAGCTTTAAAGGAAGAGAGAATCTCTTCTCGGCCGAATAAAGAGAAGAAAATGACGTGTGATTATCCCGCTGCTCTCTGTAAGGAAAGCAACACAACCGGAAAAACATAATGCATCTTATCTCCCTCCGCTCTGAGCCTCCCCAGGACACATATTGGTTTACTATACCTGGGCACATTTGCAGTGCTAATATTAAAAAGGATACATCCACTTCATTACAACTTGGCTATTGTTTCCTTGTGTTTTGCGATTGTTTCAAGCTGACTATCCATTTCTGTAGTGATCTAAAAAACTTGATTTGGAAATGAATGTTAATAAATCAAAGAAATTGGTAATTATCATTATGTTTTCTGGAAAGCTATGAGCGTATATAAGTGGTCTGTAAACTATGGGTATGTTAGAGTCATAATGTTGGCAGTTAATGTCTTCTCTTCTGAAATAATGTCTGAACATTACAAGCTTCATACGGATAACCACAGGTTCCATTACAGTACGTTGGTGTTCCTATTTATGTTTAATTACCACAACTGTATATTTAAGAGGAAAGGAATATGTTTTATGAAACTTATCTAGGTTTAATGGTGTGTGCTTCCAACTAGAGTGAAAAGGGAAAGGGTCTGAGCACACTTCAGGCTTGGCCTTTTCTTACTCGAACAGCTCCCAGTGACACAACTATCCCTTGTTCCTTATCTGTCATCAACTAATCCTCTTGAACTCCTACATCCCAACTTCTGCACTTGTAGGAAACATTGTCTGTACTCCAAAGGTCTGTAATGTGTTTTCACAATGAGAGCTACGCTAACCATCACCTCTCTTTAAACCTAACCCTAATTTAACTCTATCTTTAAATCAAGTCTTCAACTTAAAATGTTAGGATTTACCTTATAGCAATACATTTACTCAAGTAAAGTAAGGTTTTAAGGAACTTGAACCTAAAGTAATTCCATGTTATGCTACTTCATACTTAAATACTTAAATATATTGAACTTCACCTGACATACTGTATTACTAGTATCTTTGCAGAATCATATTAAATTGAATTATTATGTATTATTATAGATTGAGATACATCGAAGTTAAACTCCACTCCACCTTTACCAGATGCCAAATTAAAATGAGGAAATATTGAAAATAATATATTGCTATTTAGCATAATCAGTACTTTGAGTTTTGGTACTTTAAGTATATTTTGATGCTAATCCTTTTGTACTTCTACTTGGATAAATAAAGTGTTAATTGCAAAATGAGTATTTCTACACGTGTTGTATTACAACTTTTACTTATGTAAACAATTAGAGTATTTCTTCCAACACTGCTTTAGGAAAGTCCCCACAATGTGAGTGTGTAATCAGAGTTATGTCCCCACATTGCCCTCAAAACAAAACACACCAACACACACACACACTGTATTGACTGGACCACACAATACAGCTGGATAACACAGATACAAGTCTAATAATGTGCAGGGTACACACGCACACACACACACACACACACACACACACACA